GGAGAAGCGGTGCGTCGGTGCGCGCCCGGGATCCGAACCCGGGCCACCAGCATCGCAGCGCGTGCACTTAACCACCAAGCCACAGGGCTGGCCCACTTGCTGGACTTCTGAGGTGGGCAGATGCAAGGAAGGCAGAGGGACCCTGATCGATAATGGCTTCTTCAGTGCTCCTGACACAAAATCCAAACTCCTCACCATTGCTCTTGCTGACCTCTATGGCCACGCAGGGCTCCTTTTGGTCCCTGCCACAGGGCCTTTGCATATGCTGTTCCTATAAACTCTAGCCCAACCCCACTGCCCCCTTTACCTAGTTAGCTCCCACTGCACACCTGAGGTTAGATGCCCCCTTCTCTGGGACAACTTCTCTAACTATACATTTACAGGCATGACTACTCAATTCACATTCACCTCTCCACCTAGACTGTGAGCTTCCTAAGGGGAGCAATCTTGCCTGTCTCGTCCACTAGCACAATGCCCAGTGTACAGCAGGTGTTCAGAATATGCCCGGCAAATGACCCATCAGTGAAGGGCTCAGGAGAGAGGGGATGAGGCCCGAGCCCAGCAGTCCAGAGAAGACACACCGAGGGGCTTCCTCTGCCTCCCTCCCCCCACCTCACCCCACTCGGGCACTCACAATTCTCTTGAAGTTCTTCTGCCAGATGGCAACCTGGTGCAGGATATCCAGCCTGTGGAGGAAGAAAGAGATGTGAGGGGCCCACCTCCACTTAACACCCTCCCCACCCCATCAGATGACAACCTAGGCTCCTCTCTTCCACTCCCAGGGCAGTGTGATCTGGCCCTGCCCCTCTCTGACCCCATCTCGCACCACCTCCAGCCGCAATGGCTTCTCTGCGAGATGGAGTCCAGACTCCAGGCCTTTGCACTGGCTGTTCCCTCTGCCGGAAATGCTCTTCCCCTAGGTGGTTCCTTCTCAGCCTACAGGTCTCAGCCCAAACAAGATCCCCAGGAGGGGCCTCCTTGCCAAAGAAAGAGCTGCCCCTTCCTCTTTCTCACAGTACCTCTCTCCTTTCCTACCATTACAACTTACTTACTGCCACTTTTTTTTTTTTTTTGCTGAGGAAGATTTGCCCTGAGCTAACATCTGTGCCAGTCTTCCTCTATTTTGTATGTGGGTCGCCACCACAGCATGGCCACCGATGAGTGGTGTAGGTCCACACCCAGGGAACTGAACCCAGGCCGCCAAAGCAGAGCATGCTGAACTTAACCACTAGGCCACGGGGCCAGCCTCTATTGTCACTTCTTTATGGACTGGTTTTCCTCTCCAGCCCTGTGCTGTCCCATACTGTAGACACTGGCCACCTGTGTGGCTAGTCAACACCTGAAATGTGGCCAGTGCCACATGTTCAAATGACAGTATTTTAGATACACCAGGTAAAGTAAAATACATTATTGAAATCAATCTCACTTATTTCTTCCTCTTTAAAGAAAAATGTGGCTACTAGAAAAATTTATTTATTTAGTTAGTTATTTGTGTGTGTGTGTGTGTGTGTGTGTGAGGAAGATCAGCCCTGAGCTAACATCCATGCCGATCCTCCTCTTTTTTTTTCCTGAGGAAGACTGGCCCTGGGCTAACATCTGTGCCCATCTTCCTCCACTTTACGTGGGACGCCGCCACAGCATGGCCTGACAAGCAGTGCATCGGTGCACGCCCGGGATCTGAACCCGGGCCACCAGCAGTAGAACGTGCGCACTTAACTGCTATGCCATGGGGCCAGCCCTAGAAAAATTTGAATCACACATGGGGCTCACATTATATGGCTAAGTTGGACATGGCTGCCAGGGTGGTTTGCCAGGAGTTGGCAAACTCTGGCTAGTAGGCCAGCCTGGCCTGCCGCCTGGTTTTGTAAATACGTTTTCCTGGCACACAGCCATGCTCATTTATTTACCTACTGTCTGTGGCTGCTTTTGCGCTTCATTGGCAGAGATGAGTAGTTGGCATGGAGACCTGCAAAGCCTAAAATATTTGCTATCTGGCCCTTTAGAGAAAACCTTTGCTGACCCCCCTGCTCTGAGCTGTAAGCAACATCGGTGACCTCGGTGCTCATTCACTGCTGTATTCCTAACACCTAGAAGGGAATCTGGCACATAGCAGGTGCTTCATAAGTATTTATAGAACAAAATACATTGTGTTTTTAATTTCTTTGTCACCCTCTACTAGATTGGCACTCTGTCAAGGCAGGGGGCAAACCACACAAATAACAGTCATAGTAATAAATTAATAGCACTTATTATGCGCCAGACATGGTGCACGAGACAACACACACCTTGGTATGTGATAACCCAGCCCCGGGAGGTGGCACACATAAGGATGAGATCCTGGCTCTAAGCTGTGTGACCCTGGACACATTTCTTTTTTTTTTTTTTGTGAGGGAGATCAGCCCTGAGCTAACATCCGTGCTAATCCTCCTCTTTTTGCTGAGGAAGACTGGCCCTGAGCTAACATCTATTGCCAATCCTCCTCCTTTTTTTCCTCCCCAAAGCCCCAGTAGATAGTTGTATGTCATAGTTGCACACCCTTCTAGATGCTGTTATGTGGGACGCAGCCTCAGCATGGCTGGAGAAGCGGTGCGTCGGTGCGCGCCCGGGATCCGAACCCTGGCCGCCAGTAGCAGAGCGCGCGCACTTAACCACTAAGCCACCGGGCCGGCCCTGGTCACATTTCTTAACCTGTCTGTGCTCAGTTTCCTTAGCTACAAAATAAGAATAACAGAATCCCTTCCTATGATCTAGTTAACTAAAATGTAAGTAGACTATGCCAGGCACATAGGAATGACTTAGCCGTTGTAAGCCTTCATTTTTGCAAAAACCAGTAACAGCAACGACAATCAACATTCCTGTAGAACTTAACTATGTGCCAGAATTAACTCATTTAATCATCACAGCAACCTGCGGTTTGACAGAACGGGGACACTAAAACACAAAAGCGGAAGGCAGGATTTGAACCCAGGCACTCTGGCCCCAGAGTTCTGGGTCCCTATCCCCTAGAGAATGTCACCGCTCAGCTCTCAACTTGACACAACTCTGCAGCAGGAAAAACCATCCTCCTTTGACAGGTGGAGAAACTGAGGCTCTAGAAATTCGCCTCTTTCCCCAGGTACGAGCCCAGGTCATGCTGATGCCTCAAGCCCCGCTCCTCGCCCCTCTGCCACCCAGGTCCCCATGACAGCTCCCACTCACCTGGGCGCCGTGGCGAACACGTCCGGGTGCAGCTCGGTCAGCCCCACGCGCTCCTGCTCGTAGCCCCGCAGGGACTCGACCCAGGCCTGCACCGGGCGCCGGGGCGCGAGGACCGGGAGCTCGCATCTGCGCAGCACGGGCTCCTGGGGACCTGGGGCGACTGGGAGGTCAGGCGTCAGGGCCAAGGGTCAGAGATCCCCGTCGCCGCCCCTCCTAGGGCGACCCCGGCAACCTCACCCGCGCTCACTACCGGCTCTGACTCCTCCGCCGGCTTCACCGCCTCTTCCGCCAGCGCGCTCAGGCCCTGCAGGCGGTGGACGAGAGTGAGACGACCCCCGGAGCGTCCCACCGGCGTCCTCCGACCCCGCCCCCAGTCCCCGGCCTCACCCGGCAGCCCGTGGGCCGGAGCCAGGCCCGCGCCCCGGCCCGGACCAGCAGCAGCATAGCCGCGCGGCTTCCCACGCCGAGAGGTCACGGCTCCCTCTGCCGCGCGCCGCGCCTCGCGATGACGTCACGCCCGCGACACCGCCCGCCGCGCTCAGATGGGGCGCTGCTGCAAAGCCGGGCGTGCGTCCAGCAGCGAGGACGGCGGGGCCTGGCCCAGCGTGCCTCCACTTCCGCCCCAAGACTAACCCCTGGACCCCAATTTTCACTCCCGGCCTAAACGACCCTCTGCGACCCCTGAGAACGCGACTCCACCGCAACAAGCCCCGCCCCCTCCGTGGGCCACTTCCTCTTGGGTCCCCGCCCCTAAAGAGCCGGTGCAGGAATCCAGCCAATGAAGCCTTCCCACGCTCTTCGTTCAGCCAATGAGCGTTAAGTCTGGAAAAGTGGCCCGCCCATGGCTGGGCGGTTCCGAGGCGGGCGGCTAAGGGAATTTGACCAATAACTATTAGGTTTCGGATGTCAGCCGCGCCCTCTAGGCCACGCCCCCATGTAGCCGCCGAGACTGTCAGCGGTGATTTTTCAGTATCCAATAACGTGGTTTTGTTTGTTTGCCTGTGTGTTTAAATGCAGAGCCTTATCTCCCCCAGAAAGCACTCAGGATTAGGCCTGCCGGAAGGTGCCCCTCTGCTTAGATCCCCCGGAGCTGGGCTATGTCCCCCTCAAACCCCTCAGATTAGGTCTGTGTCTCCCCCAACCCTTAGGCCAAGGTTCCTGTCGCCTCTCAGACCTGCCAGGGTTCTCCGAGGACAGAGCAAAGTGGAGCGTCCACAGATCTTGGTTTGCCGCCCTTGTCGCCCACCCGCCCTGCAGAAATCCGAAAGCTCACTTTGTAGGTACTTTGCCACGTTCCCCGTCAGACCCTCCAGGGGGCGCCACGAGCCCGGAGCAGCCTTCCGTGCCGGGCCAGACCCGAGCACTTAGCTGCCAGCGCCGTCTGGACTGAGCTCAGGGGCCGAGAACTTGGTCTCGGAACCAACCTCAGTTTCCTCTTCTGGAAAATGGGGAGGTTGTGACTTCGATGAAATGATGGAAGCAAAGTGCGCACAAAATGAAAACGCTAGCACAGAGTGAGACTTAAGAAATAGCATTATTATTATTAAAGGTCAATTTTGTCATCAAATCAAGGCAAGAGCCAAGGCAGGTATGAGGGTGGACCCTGGAGGACTTGAAAGATGTGCTAAACTGTGAGCCTTTTTTTTTTTTTTTGCGTCTGATATAGAACATGGATATTTTCTTGAAGTATTAATGAAAATTTACAGTGTATTTCACTGTGTATTTTATCCCTGCAAGAATAACTGTGGATGTGTGTTTAAAACTCCATGCACTTTGTAATTTAAAAAGGTCTTTTAATCCTTTATTTTGTAGAATTTTATTCATTCATTTTATGTTGGCATAGGTAATTCACACACTTGTAAAGAAAATTTCAAAAACTACCAAAGGATAACTAGAGTGAAAAGTCTGTCTCCTCTACCTCTGTCCCCTGCCCCCCAGGTCCCCTCCCAGAAGCCACCACTACAACCAGTTGTGTGTCTCCTCCCAGATCCAGTGTATGATTTTATAGGCAGATTTACAGGTCTGTCCTGTGCTGGGGAGTTTAGATTTTAAGTTGTGAATGATGTAATGGCATTTAGTTGCTTAATGATTTATTAGGCACCTACTGTATACTGCTGGAGTAAATCCAGCAGAAAACCTTGAGACGCTCACAGTCCAGTGGCTAAGGGACCCGAATGGGCAAGGGAAGGTCTCTAGGGTCTGTGGGAGCCCATGGAGAAGAATTCCTAACTCCTGGGGACAGGGGTCTCAGAGGCAGCTTCCTAAAGCTGTAACCTGAGAGTTAAATCTTGAGGGCCCATCAAGAGCTTGTCCAGAGGAGAAAGTATGTTCCAGGCTGAGGGAACAGCATTTGCAAAGGCCAGAAGTGGGGAGAACATGGGGGATGCGGTGGGCAGGGGTGGCTGGATCTTCCTGATAGCCACATGCTTTGTTCATTGACTCATTCATTTATGCTGGTCCCACCTCAGGGCCTTTGCACTCTTGTTCTTTCTGCCTGGAACATACTTTTCCCAGATCCCCACATGGCTCCCTCCCTCCCCTCCTTTGATTCTTTACTCAAAAGTCACCTCCTCCAAGAAGCCTGTCCTTACCACTCCTATTTCAAATTGCAATCCCCACCCCTGGCCCTCTGACCCCCTTATTCTGCCCTGTTTATTTCCATCAGTATTTATCTTCTAACATCCTATATAACTTCCTATTGTTTTTAATGCTTTTTGGCTGTCTCCACTATTAGAGTGTTAACTCCCCAGGGCAAAATTTTTGCTCTGTCTTGTTCCCTGCTGTAGCCCCAGAGCCCAGCAGAATGCTTGTGACACAGCAGGGTCTTAACACACGTTTGTTGAGTGAATTCCTCCGCTCATCATCTTGTTGCAGGAATATAACCAGAAACAGAAAAAGCTCTCCCTTTGTCTCCTGGGTCTCAAAGTCTTTATCTCCCTGAGGTCATGGGCACATAAGATACCCAATAAATTATTATTTACCTAATGGCACTGGGGTCACATAGACACAGGTTCGAATCCAGGGGCTGCCACTATTGGCTGGGTGTCCTTAGGCACATGATTAGCCCTTTTGGAGTTTGGTCTCCTTTTTTTTTTTTTTTTTTGGTGAGGAAGATAAGCCCTGAGCTAACATCCAATACCAATTCTCTTTTTGCCAAGGAAGATTGGCCCTGGGCAAACATCCGTGCCCATCTTCCTCTACTTTATATGGGACACCGCCACAGCATGGCTTGACAAGCCATGCGTCAGTGTGCGCGGGGGATCCGAACCTGCGAACCCTGGGCTGCTGAAGTGGAGCGCACACACTTAAGTGCTGCGCCACCGGGCTGGCCCCTGGAGTTTGGTCTCCTAATCGGTAAGTGGGACACACACAAACACTGAGCTTTGTAGAGGATCAGAGTTCTCTTTCCTTCCTTCCTCACTCCCCACAGTCTTTTTTCCCCCACAGAGGGAGCCTGTAAACACCTGAGGCAGATCACATCCCTCCTTTGCTCAGAACCCTCCGTGCCGTCCACTTCACTCACAGCAAAAGCCAAAGTCCTCCTGCAGCCCACAAGGCCCCGCAGGACCTGTCCTTACTTCCTCCTACCCTCCCCCTCTACCACTCTGTGGTTTTGGCCAACTGGTCTTCTCACCAGAAACTGTCTGTCTCACACCAGCCTCAGGGCCTTTGCACCGGTCGCCCCTTCTGTCTGGACGACTCTCCCCTTCAGCTGCATGGCTAACTCCCCCACCTCCTTCAGATTTTTACCCAAACGCCACCTTCTCAGGTGACACTGGGTCTAAGATCACTGTTCCCTTCCTACCTCATGTTTCTCATCTGCCTTCCCGGTTTCATATGTCTCTGGAACTTTCATTACATTCTAACAGATGACATCATGTTCTTATTTATCCTGCTGCTTCTCTGTCACCCCCACTAGAACGTCAGCTCCTGGAGGACAGGGATCTTTGTTTTTGTTGCTAAGAAGGGTGCCAGGCACCAGGGGGTTCTCAGTACATAGTAATCGAACAGGTGGAATGTAGACAAAACAGTTAGCACAGGGCTCCCACCAGCACGTTGATTATGAGCCTCAGTGAAACTGAGGTAATGACCTTGAGAACTGTACACTGCAGGGCCGGCCCCGTGGCTTAGCGGTTAAGTGCGCGCGCTCTGCTGCTGGCGGCCCGGGTTCGGATCCCGGGCGCGCACCAACGCACTGCTTCTCCGGCCATGCTGAGGCCGCGTCCCACATACAGCAACTAGAAGCCTGTGCAACTATGACATACAACTATCTACTGGGGCTTTGGGGAAAAAAAAAATAAAAATAAAAAAAAAAAAACAACTGTACACCACGAGGCTCAAAGTTTGACCGTTTTGGCCCAAGCCTGGGTAGAGGTCAAAGGTCGACATGTCAAACCCACTCCTGTGGATCAAAGGCTCAATTGTAGGTGACCTCCGTCCCCAGTGACACGGGGCCTGCGTCAGCCTTGCAGCCCGCAGAGGAGGTCTGCTGGCTGCCGGCACGATAGCAATTTAGGGGGCACACATGGGAAGCTGGAGGCCCCCCGGATATCTGGTCTTTCTAGCCCCATCACTATGTAAGGCTTCACAAAGGCCAGAGGTCAGGGTTGCAATGCTTGGGGGGCAGCCCCCAGGTAGGAGGTGCAGGGCATGTGGGGGGTCTGGCTTACTGGGGGGAGCTGTCTGAAGTGCCCCTCCCCCATCAACTGCCAAAACATCTGCAGTGTGTTTGTTTGCAGCTGAGTTTGTGGGTAACTGCCAAGCCCGTGAGGAGGCGGAGTCTCCCACTGAGGCACCCTCCCCCAGGGCACGGGGGATACATCTCATTTGCATGGACGTTTCTATTCCCTTCAGTTCTGCCAGGCTGGGGCTGTGGAGCAGAAAAAAGGTGCAGATCAGCCCCCCAGCCAGGTCTTGGCAGAAAGCCAGGCCCCCCCCCTCCCGGCTTGAACCCCTGGGCAGGGCACGTGGGCTCTCTGAGCCTCAGTTTCCTCGTCTGTAAAATGGGGGTATAATTGCCGCTGTCTCACACGGTCTGTTTCAGGCTCGAGCCTGTATGCCCTCAGATCATCCATGCCCTGCCCCGCCCCCACCCCATGACCAAGGGCTGACCGCTGCCCACCACGTTGCCCTTGCCCACTGGCTTCTGCCCACATTTCACCAAGAGCAGACACCCAGGATGGATTGGAAGGCAAGACGATGGGAGCAGCCAAGATACTTCTCCCCATCTGCTTCTGGTAGCATCTCCCACTGGGCACAGCCTCCTTATGTGCTAATTTCTAAATAGTCTCTCCCCACTCTATTTCAGTTTCTCATCTACGCAACCAACTCCTGTATTAAATCCCCTCCATTTGAGATGCTTCTATTTTCCTGAGTCGACGCTGACTGATGGAAGGCAGCTGTGACGGCTTTTGCTGGTTGGTTTTTTTGTTAAGAAACAATTTCAACAAAATAAAGTCTTCCCTTTTGAGTGTACCATTCTGCAAGTTTCCACAAACATATATAGTCATGCAACCACCACCAAAATCAAAATTTAGAATAGTTCCATCACCAGAAAATTCCCCCATGCCCTTTCATAGTCAACCCGTCTCTCCACCCCCAGATCCTGCCAACCACTGGGATGTTCACCTTCCTCTAGTTCAATCTTGTCTAGAATGTCATAGAAATGGAACCACATAGCAGCCTTTTGCGTCTGGCTTCTTTCCCTCAGTGTTAAGCATTTGAGATTCACCCATGTTGTTATGTATCACTGGTTCCTTGATTCCTGAGCCATTTTCCTTGCAAGGATGGACAGCAGTCTGTCTGTTCATTTCCTAGTTGAAGGAGCTGCTCTGAGCTGCTCATGAGTTGATATTGCAAAGCGCTCAGGACAGTAACCAGCACATTATAAATGCGTCAGCTGTTATATTATGCTGGGGTGGGGGGCTTGCTGAGAAGGAGCCTCCGGCATTCCCCTCTCCCTGAACTGTGCATGCTTCTCTCGTCCCGAAGGGAGAGCCCACTCTTCCCAGGCTGGAAGGGCCGAGGCTGCATCTGGTGGAGACGTGGCAGGGGCCGGCCTCGGCCGGGAGCCTCCCCACCCCATCCCTGAAGCCGAAAGTGGGCCCCGAGCCCACGGATGGATGAGACACAATGGCCGCAGCCCTGCTGCCTGCCAAGATCAGCATCTGGAAAGTTTCTCTGCAGCTGGGGCCCCTTCCCCCAGTGCTGGGCGATGATGAGAAAGTTGGGACCTGTCACAGACACTTCTTTCCATGCGGTTTCTCCTGCCAAGAGCTGAGAGGTGGGGGTGGGGAGAGTGGAGGCTCAGGGAGGAGGGAGGGCAGGCCTGGGCCTCATTGATTTGGGGGAGTTCACAAAATTTGGGGTGGGAGTGGGATCAGAGAATTCCCCTCACCTGGATTACAGAGAAGAATGTTCCTCCTCTCACCAGTGACTGATGTGGTCCTGAGTGGTACCCACCGCCCTTCTGTCCTGACCTGCCAGGGCAGGGATGCAAGTCACTGAATCTGGACTGGGGCGGGGACTTGAGATGAACAAGGAGGCAGAGAGCTTTAGTCCAAATCCCACCACTACTGTGTGCCTCAGTTTCCTCATCTCTAAAATGGGGTGACAAGGAAAAGGCAAAACTATGGAGACAGTAAAAAGATAGTGGTTGCCAGGGGTTGGGGGGAGGGAGGGATGAACAGGCAGAGCACAGAGGATTTTTAGGGCAGTGAAACTGTTCTGTGTGATACGATGATGGTGGATACGTGTCCTTCTCATTTGTCTAAACCCATAGAATGTACGACACCAAGGGTGAACACTAATGTCAACTATGAACTTGGGGTGATAATGACATGTCCATGCCAGTTCATCAGTTATAATCAATGCACCCTTCCGGGGCCATGTTGATGGTGGGGGAGCCTGGGCACATCTGGGGGCAGAGGGTATACGGGAAATCTCTGTACTTTCCACTCAGTTTTGCTGTGAACCTGAAACTGCTCTAAAAAATAAAGTCTATGAAAAAAATGGGATGATGATAATAATAACACCCACCTCACAGGGTTGTGAGGATTCATAGGACCGCACCCAGCACAGCCTGTGTCTGTCGCATGAGTGAGCGTTAGCCATTATTGTCAGAGGCCCTGTAATTAGTGGAGGCTGGTCCAATTCTCTTCCTTCTGTATTTCCCCTTCCTGGGACTCCCCAAGAAAAGGGCCTTGCTTCCTTCCCCTTCCACAGTTCTCACTCAGGGGCTCCCCTAGGGCAGGGCCCAGCTTTGCATTTAACCCCTCCAGACCATCAGGAAGTCTAGGCCTTCAGTGGTTTCCATTTCTCCAGCTGTCCCCTCAGCTGACCCGGCGGAGACCTCGTGTTGTGTCAGATGTAGGAGGCGGCGGGGTGGGGGGGAGGTGGAAGTTGCTTGTGAGTGCCTCTGTGTGCCTCAGGGGACATCACCTTTATCTAGGAGCCATGGTCCCTGTAACAGACAGCCGGATACGTCTGTGGCCTTGACATCACCCCCACCCCCAGGTCCCTGGGGGTATAGCAAACTGCTGAGCTAGCCGAGGGCACTTCCTCCGCAGCCTTCAAGTCCCCACAGAGGCTGAGATTTCCGCTCCGATAGCTCCGTGGGGAGGAGAGGACCCAGTTCTCTTTGCGCTTTGCTCCTGTGGGTTGAACACCTGGTTTCTAGAGGTCGTCCAGGCAACACATGTCACTTGGCAGAGGATTCAGTGAGGTGTTACCGAGGTCCGAGTGGACCCCAAGATCTGGCCTGGAACCAAGTGGACACTGAAATCTGGCTCAGGAAAAGAAGCGAAGTCTCTCTGACTTTTCTTATCTCCCCATAAAGCCCTGCTACCCTGTGTTAGAACTATCTGATTTCTTCTGTCTCCTCCATCGGACTGTCAGCTTGGGACGGCAGAAACCAATGAGGCGTCACCAGAGATAGCACAGAGCATTGTATGTTGCATTATATGAATATATACGCTGCCTACATATATGTAGCATTAACATATTGATTTTTAATATTCATTTCTTTATTAATCACTTACATATGTTTATTCTTAAGATCAATTTATTTAATGATGATATGTCGATTGTTGATATGTTTATTAACATTATTGTTTATATTATTGATATTATTTATTATTGTTATTACAGGAAAAATTTTACAACTAGACGTCTGGCGATTTGTTTGTTACCTTTTATCTGATTTTTCATGTCTTTGTAAATTTTTTGAATTGGTAATACGAGCTAAAAACTTCCAGTCCCCCAGAGTATACCATGAAAAGTCTGGCCCCTTCTCACCTGTTCCCCTGCTCCCCAGCCCCCCTCCCTGAGGGTAACGGCTGTGACCAGTGGCTTGTGCCTTCTCCCCGAGATGGCCTACGAGTCCACAGGCAAATATGTGTGTATTTATACAGTCCTTATAAATACACCTAGACGATGCGTGCAAGCAATGCACACTGGTCTACTCTGTGCTTTTTTCAACTTAACATCTTGAAGAGTTTCACATCCAGACTACTCCATTTTTTACTTTTTTCATAGTCATAAATGGATCAATTTTAATTTCCTTTTTGGTTTTGTGTTTTAACACTCTTTAAGAAGTGTAACATACATACAGAAGAGTGCACCACAAGTCTCCTTTCTTTTTATCAGTTGCATTGTCTGGGTATCAAGCAGCCTTAAATTTTTTAAAATTTCAGCTTTATTGAGGTATCATTGACATATAAAATTGTAAGATAGTTAAAATGTACATCATGGTGATTTGATAGACACATCCTTAAAGGATTTCCCTTTCTAGTTAAATAACACACCCATTGTCTCACATATTTCTCTTTTGTGTATGAGAACATTTAAGTTCTACTCTCTTAGCAAATTTCACTTATACATTGCAGTGTTATCAACTGAGGTCACTACTGTTTACGTTAGATCCTCAGACCTTATCCATCTTATAACCTAAAGTTGGTACCTTTCCACCAACCTCTCCCTGTTCCCCCACCCCAGCCCCTGGCAACCACTTTCCTACTCTCTGTTTCTATGAGTTTGACTTTTTTTTTTAAGATTCCACATATAAGTGAGACCATACGGTATTCATCTTTCTCTGTCTGGCTTACTTCACTTAACATAATGCCCTCAATGTCCATCCATATTATTGCAAATGACAGGATTTCCTCGTGACTGAATAATAGTCCATTGTCTGTATACACACATCTTCTTTATCCATTCATCCTTTAACCGACACTTAGGTTGTTTCCAGCTCTTGGCTATTGTGAATAACGCTGCAATGAACATGGGGGTGCAGATACCTTTTTTTTTAGCATTATGCTTTTCAACACTCTTTACTGAAGTATAATATATACATACAGAATAGTGCACCTACCCCCTCCCTCCTTTTTATTGCATGGTCTGGGTATCACGGAATCTTAATTTTTAATTTAATTTATTGCTGGAATAGGGCACATACGCACGTCACAAAAGTCAATAGGCATGGAAGGATTCACAGAGTGAAAGCAGCCTCCCTCCCATGCCCTGTCTCCTATCTTTCAATTCCTCTCCCAGGAAATTTACCAGTTTCTTCTTCCTGCCATATTCTGGATATTCTGCATGCATACAGTAGAATATCAGCTCCTCAGAAACACGGAGTTTTGTTCCTTAATATATGTTTAACTTTGAGAATAGTGTCTGGCACCTACCAGGTGTTTAATGTATTTCGTAAATAAACATATAAGCAGATTATGTATACATTTCCACAAATAGTACCCTCCTAAAAGGCTGAATGAGGGGAACGGGAGGAAACTGAAGGATTAAATAGAAGATTGGCCCTAGCTTGGAACGCAGGGCGCAACCTGGGCCTGCTGGTCGACCACAGCGAGGGTGGGACAGCTATCGATAAAGGGAGGGTCGGCTGTTGGGTGCTCCTGGGAGAGGGAGCAGCGGCTGAATTCTGAGGCCTTATCAAGGCAAAGCCAGTCCTGTCTTTGGGGCAGGGCGTGGCACATAGTAGGATCTTGATTATTTGTTAGATGAACACACACATAGAAGGGGCTTAATGCCTATTTTCTGCGTTGACACATAGTCGGTTCTTAATGGCTCCTTGTTGAGTAAATAAATGGGATCCCGCGCTCTCCTCCAATTCTGGGGTCCCAGGGATGGGCCAAGAGTTTATTCGCAACCGAAGACAGTTGTTTCAGGTTGAGGCCACCTGGCCAAGACAGACGTGACGTCACCAGGCTGCGTGACGTCATGCGCCGGCCGGTTCTCACGGGTGGGGGCTGGGAGGGGCAGGGCGGGAGGTGGGGGTGCGGACAAAGGGACCCCGCGCGCCTCCCCCGCCGGCCCCCGCGCGCGCGCCCCGGCTGGCCAGCCACATCTGGAATTCATTGCCGCCGCCGCCGGAAAGGGGAGGAGAAGAGGGCGGGGCGAGTTGGGGGGCCGAGGCGGTGCCTTTCCCCGCCCCCCCCTCCGTCCCCGGTCCCCAGCCCCGGGACGCAGCCGAGCCCGGCGGGCAGCCCCAGCCCCAGCCGCGGCCGTCCCGGGGACGCAGACGCCCAAGCCCCTCCGACCAGGGCAGCGACCCGGGCCAGCCTAGCCAGGTGAGCGTGCGTGGCGAGGGGGAGGCAGAAAGGGCGGGCCCCGGTCCCCTGAGGTCGCAGGATCGGAGCTGGGGGGCCTGGCCAGGGGTTGGGGGCGCCCCGGGGCGCGCACGCGCCGCGCGTGCTCCTGCTGCACGGAGGGAGTGGTCACCGTGAGCCCTCTCCACGACTCCAGGCGGCCCCCACTGCCTCGGCCGCGAACCCCCAGACTGCGCTCCCTGCCTTCCCCAGCGGCAGGAAGTTGGCGCCGAGGAGAAGGCGGAATCCGAGCGCTTTCAGTCGCAGACTGGGAGGCAGGACAGCGAGCCCCGCGATCAAGGGTTTGGGGAGTGTGTATGGGGGTGTAGGGCGCCCCTCCTGGCTAACTCGGGCTGGGCGAGGGCGAAAGGTGCTGCGCGCCCTAGAGCTTCCAAGCCAAGGGGCGGGGCCCCGGGGAAGGCAGTCGCCCACTGTCTGCTCATCTGGCTCTCTGCCTCAGTTTCCCTGAGTAGTTCGTCTCCTCCAGTCCGCCCGCGGGGGCGTGGCTTTGTTCTTGAGGGAAAGGGAACGTGACTGCGTGGCTCCGGCGCGTCGTCTTTATCCTGGGGATGGGGCCAGGGTGCAGACGTGCGTGCCACAGACCCCGTGTGGTCCCGGGCCCAGCAGAGCGTCGGAACCTCGCCCCCTCCTCCGGCACGAGTTGACTCACCCGGGGATTTCCACCCCCTCCCCCGAGTCCGCCCTAGTCAGGTGCTCCGGGCGCCACGAGCTGTGCCCACCGTCCTCCGCGTGGCGCAACGCGGGTGCAGCATTCGTGGTGCGGCTGCTGCTGGAATCTCCCCCCACCCCAACCCCCAGTGCTCCGGGAATGCCAAGGCGGGGCCCCTGGGACGGAGAGGAGCCCCCCACCCCCACTTGGAGATGTTGGGGGTCCCGCGCGTGTGGCTGTCGCGGGAGAGAGGAGGCGCGGCCCCAGCGGCTGCGAGTGTGGATACCGCGCATTCCACGGCCAGATAAGGAGGTCGAGACTGCGGCTGGAGGGCGGGGGCGGGTCCTGCCGCCGTCTCCACGGAGACGCGCTGGGCTTCGCCTGGGGTGGGGGGGCTGCTCGCGGACCAGAGGCGTCTCCAGCCTCCCTTGCTGTTGTTTGGGTCTGGGCAGAGTTTAGGAGCCTCCACCCTCGGGGACCCACTGGGGCCTTGTTGGTTCGTTCATTCATTCATCCGTCCATCCATCCATTCCACATGCTTTCTGAGCACTTCTGTATGCCAGGCATCGTTCCAAAGGGGCTGAAAACCGACTGGGTGGCTGGCCTCCGACACTCACGTTCTACCGTGGAAGCCAGACAGAAAACAAGAAATACAATCATAATTTCCAAAATTGGCAAGTGCTGTGAAGATCATAGAGCAAGATGCTGTGATAGAAAGGGCCTGAGGAAGGCGGCTCGAGTAGACTGGCACGTCAGAGGAGGCCCCTCTGAGAAAGTGCCCTTAAAACTGAAACCTGAAAGATGAGGAGATAGTCGTTCAAGGATTGCGAGGAAGGGCATGCCAGGTGGAGGAACAGCCGCGGCAAAGGCTGTGAGCTGGCGATGGGGGTGGCAGGCAGGAGGCCAGTGTGGTGGGAGTGGAGTGACCCTGGGGGAGAGTGGGAAGAGACTAGGTGGGAAGGGGCCAGGCCCTTTGGGGCAGTGGGGAGCCATGGTAGAAGCTGGAGCTGAGCAGTGGCATAGTGGAGCGCCCCCTGGCTGCAGCGCGGAGAATAGGGGGTGGGGCCTGAGAGCTGAAGAAAGGGGGAGAGGGGCTGCCCTAGGGCAAGAGGCTCATTGAGTGACCGGGAGGAACTCTTAACCACAGGAGTTGCCTCTAAGGGGAACTTGGGGAAGGGGTGCCTGGAAGCCACTGAGGCTTCCTCCAGCCTTCCTCTCTCCTTATTTCCCCTTGAACAGTCTTGGTCTGTCTCTCTTCCCTTCCCTCCAAACCCTGTCACTTGCGGCTCTCCCTCCATTGAGGCCAGGGACGGCCTCCTGAGCTTCTGTGTGTAGCCAGGCTGGGAGGCTGACACAGCGAGGGGAAGCTGGCAAGGGCTGTATCGGCCTCGGGGTGACTCTTCTGCCAGCCCCAACCTCCGGGCCCTTCTTCCTCTTTCTGGGAAGCAGACCTGCCTTCAGTTCGCGTGTTAGCAAAGTCGTCGGGATGCAGTGTGGGCCTCAGTTTCCCCTTCTCTAACTAGGAGGGCCGTCCTGCCTTCTGAGGATGCCTTGACAGCCTCCTGGGGCTGCAGAAAGTGAGGGTACAGCGCCCCCTGTCTCTCCCCCCTCCCCCCCAAGAAGACAGACTTGGTCAGTCCCTGGGGTGCAAGGGCTGAACTCATTTCTTATTTCGCCAGGAAACAGCTATAAATCTTTCTCTTGGCCGCCAGACAGGAGACGAGTGGTGGCCCCACATGAGGCGGGGACGGGGCGGCCACGGAACATACCCTGCGCTTCTCGCCCACCAGCAAATGTGTTTCCCAGGCCTGCGATGGGTCTTTGATTGTTAATTATGAACCCCAAGAGGGGCCCAGTAGACCAGGGCAGGCTGGGGGCGTCTGGTCGGGGTGACCCGGCGGTCAGGCCGCGGTTCAAACTCTCCCCTGGGACACCCGCACAGCCTTCACTCTGTCCTCGGAAAGAAATGCGCTCCAGCCGCCTGCAAAGGTCCAGATCAGTAGTGCTGGCCGGAGAGCGCCCCCAACGGGCCAATCAAATACCGAGGACGGAGAGCTCAGGCCAATAGGCGAATCGCTCAATGCCCTGGGATTGAAAATGACCCAATCAGAGCGCGTGCTGTTTCTGGCCCGACGGCTGGTCTGGTAAGGCCGAGGCCTGGGCCGAGCCAGCTCCAGGCCGGCTGCAGCGGGCAGAGGGCATCGGGGCGCCAGGGGCCCTGTCCGGCAGGGAACAAGGGGCCTCTGTGTGGCGATCTGGGCGGGGCGACAGTCCCCGGGGATGCGCACAAGCCCTTCTCTGTTCCCAAACTAGGACGGATGTCCCTTTGCCCAGGGGGAGCAGCTGCCTCCGTCAGGCCGGGGGCCAGGGCGCCCCTCCGAGGGGGCGTCCGGGGACTGAATGGCTTGGCGACCCCGGAAGCCCCCCATCACTCCCAGGCTCACTAGGAACCGGCCTAACCAGCCTCCTTTCTGGAACCGTGTTCCTGGAGCGCACGTGGTCCTTGCTAGGCGTGTTTCCAGGGATGTGGGGAGGGCTTTCCCGCGCCTCCCCCTACCCCCCCAGTTATCTAATGGCTGGAGCTTCCTCCCGGCTCCTTTGTGAAAGGCAGACACTGCACCACCTCTGAGACACCCCCCTCCACCACCAAGCTGGGGGGAAACCATGATGTCCGCTCTCATCCTCTCTGCCCACGCGCCTCTTCCCACCCCCTCCCCCCACGGCTCAGTTTTCCTTGACAGTGGGGGTGACTCAGGGTTTCATGGAAACAAATACCGTCCCCCCTCCCCGCGAGGCTGCACGCCCCCTCACCGCTCACATGACTTCAGCACAGCTGCCCCATCCTCCTAGCCAGGACCTCCCAGACCGGTCTCCCGTGGCTCCCCCATCCCATCAGCCTTCTCCACACCGGATGTGACTGGGGAGCTGGGACTCCACCCTGTTTGTTCCAGGGGCCTCACATCTGGATTTCATCTTGGCTGGGGAGGGGGGTGCCGGCGCCCTGCTCACCCCGCTGGGACTGTCTGTCACACGGCTGGACTAGCTGGTGCTGATGAGAACAGGCTGTTGGGAGTCTTGCCTGGCTGGCTCAGTCAACATCCCTCCCAAAAAGACTGGGTGGAGGGCACCTAGGCCACAGCTGTATGTGTGGCAGGAAGAGGGGAGCTAATAATATTGGCTAATATTTATTGAGTGCTTGCTACGTGCTAAGCGTGCCTTATGCATCATTCAACAAGATTTTGCCATCAGCCCTCTGAAGTCCCCATTGCACCGATGAGAACATTGCAGCTGAGAGGCCGAGTATCTCGTGACTTGTCCAAGGTCCCTCAGCATGTCAGAGGGGGGAGTGGGGTTGAATCCTGAATTGCTTCCAAGATCTACGTCCTTGAAGATGACGTGACCTCAGGGATGCTCAAACCTTAGGGCCACCCTGGTGTCTCCCCAAGACCTTATCTTGGGAGCGCGCATGGCCTCCGGGCTTAGACCCAGCCTGGAATCCAGGGCAGTGGGTGGTAACCAGCAAGGGACCGTGTTATCAGCAGTGAGCATCTCGCTGACCCGGGTTGCCAGGCTGGCCTGAGGCCTGAGGCTCCAGTATATTTGAGGAAGGAGACAAGCTCTCCAGCTCCTGCCCCAGGCTCGCTCTCTGGGTAGGTTGGCAAGGCTTCTGGAAGCCCACTTTGTGTCCTTCATGCCCCTGGGGGGAGACCTTCTGTTCCTTTGAAAGACAGTGTAGCCTAGTGGTTATAGAGGCTTTGGAGTGAGTTTTTTTGGCTCTGCCACTTACTAGCTTTGAGATTTTGAGAAAGTGAATTGACCTCTCTGAGTTTCCCACCTGTAAAGCAGAGATGGGGATGATTCTGACTTCACGCTGCCACTCAGCGAGGGGTGACGGAGCTGGGAGTCGAACCACAGCCGTCCAAAGTCAGAGCCCTGGCAGCAGCCACAGCACTGACCTGTCTGTCTGTCTGTCTGTCTTTTCTCTCTGCAGCTCTGACAGCCCCATGGCCCCGGCCGGCCACTGAGCCCCACCATGGGCAGCCTGTACTCGGAGTACCTCAGCCCCAGCAAGGTCCTGGAACACTATAATTACACCAAGGAGACACTGGACACGCAGGAGGCCTCCCGCCAGGTGGCCTCGACGCTGATCATCATTCTCTGCTGCGCCATTGTGTTGGAGAATCTTCTGGTGCTCATCGCGGTCATACGCAATAGCAAGTTCCACTCGGCCATGTACCTGTTCCTGGGCAACCTGGCCGCCTCAGACCTCCTGGCGGGCGTGGCCTTTGTCGCCAACACCTTGCTCTCGGGCCCTGTCACGCTGCGGCTGACACCCGTGCAGTGGTTCGCCCGCGAGGGCTCTGCATTCATCACGCTCTCCGCCTCCGTCTTCAGCCTCCTGGCCATCGCCATCGAGAGGCACGTGGCCATTGCCAAGGTCAAGCTTTACGGCAGTGACAAGAGCTGCCGTATGCTGCTGCTCATCGGCGCCTCGTGGCTCATCTCGCTGGTGCTCGGTGGCCTGCCCATCCTTGGCTGGAACTGCCTGGGCCACCTGGAGGCCTGCTCCACCGTTCTGCCGCTCTACGCCAAGCAGTACGTGCTCTGCGTGGTCACCATCTTCTCCGTCATCCTGCTGGCCATCGTGGCCCTGTATGTCCGCATCTACTGCGTGGTCCGCTCCAGCCATGCCGATGTGGCGGGCCCGCAGACGCTGGCCCTGCTCACGACCGTCACCATCGTGCTGGGCGTCTTCATCCTCTGCTGGCTGCCCGCCTTTAGCATCCTCCTCCTGGACTATGCCTGTCCCGTCCGGGCCTGCCCTGTCCTCTACAAGGCCCACTACTTCTTCGCCTTCGCCACCCTCAACTCGCTGCTCAACCCTGTCATCTACACGTGGCGCAGCCGGGACCTGCGCCGGGAGGTACTGAGGCCTCTGCTGTGCTGGCGGCAGGCGGCGGGGATACAGGGACGGCGGAGCGGGACCCCGGGCCACCGCCTCCTGCCCCTCCGCAGCTCCAGCTCCCTGGAGAGGGGCACGCACATGCCCACGTCGCCCACGTTCCTGGAGGGCAACACGATGGTGTGAGGGACACGTGGGCCGACAGCCAGGCCACGGCAGAGTGCCCTGCGGAGAGGCGCCGAATGACCTTGGACAGAGATGTGGGGCTGCCAAGCAAGATGTCCCCACACCAGAGACCTGGGTGATACTGAAAATGTTTCACGCCCGGGACAGCCGGCTGAGGCACCGACCAGTCACGTGGCCGAGCTGCAGCAGCGTCGTGGAGACAAGTGCGGTGACCTGTGTGGCCCCTTGAGGCCTAGATCATGAGGAGGTCTGGGAGACCCGGAAAGGGCCCGGGTGACAGCAGGCAGGCGCTCGAGAGGAGCTGAGGGCAGGGGCGATTGACAACCCGGTACGAAGGATTTCAGGATTTCACCACTGTCTGACCCTCCGCCCTGTGCCAGACTCCTTTGAATTTATCTGTTTTGCCACTTTCTCCTGGCAACCTCAGGCCACTTCCCTGGAACCACTGTCCCGAGAGGCTGGAGGCCTCCTCCCTGACCGTCCCAGGTGGCCCTGGCTGACAGTTCTGGGGCTCAAAGCCACACCTTCCCCAAATTTCACCAGCTGCCTCACTTCAAGAGATGCTGGGAAACCACAGGGTGGAGGTCGTGGGCGGGGGCCGGGGGCTAAACCCCATTCTCAGACCTCATTGGCGAATTGCACTATTTGGGGCACGGAGGAATCGCCAAGGACTGGAAAAACCGGTCTGGGGGCGCTGAGGAGGGCTCTGGGCCTCCCAGTGGGGCAGGGTGGAACTTGAGAAAGTTCTAGGGGGAGCTGTCTGCCCAAGAACCGCCCCCCCGCCCCTCGCCCAAAACAGCGACCCCCAAGCTACTGCCACCTCCAGCCTCAGCCGAGGTCCCAGATCTCCTAAGAAAGGGGAGCCTGGAGCCCGCTGTGCCTCCTTTCAAGTTGTATTGAACAGAGCAGGGGGTGGGGGTGCCAAGGACGTTTGTGGGGCGCTCTCTCCTGACCTGCCCTGGAAGGACTTGGCTAAATTCTGTGGCTAGATGGAAGGGACATTGCGGTACAAATGTATATTTATGTGTGTCTGTCTGTGCATGTGTGTGTGTGTGTGCATGCGTGTGTCACGTCTGTGACCCCCTCTCCCCACCGCCTTTCCCCAGAGTGGATGCTATTCTGTCTCCTCATGTCCGTGTCGAAACTGCCAAAGAGGGCTCCGGCCTTGCACAGACTCCTGTCACTGCTGGCTCATCTCCCCAGTTTCAGAGCTTCGGGAAGGAAACCTCACACCTCAGAGTGATCTCTTGTGAATGCACAGGCTGGGGAGGGGGGCTTTGGGGGGCAAGGAGCCAGTTGGGGGCTTGTCTCCCCTCATACAGCTCCCCAGATGCCCCTCATGCCTGAGACCCAGGCTCATGCCGATCAATAAACGGTTCAGTTTCTCCTGGTGGTGGTTGTCTTTTGGGGCTTAAGGTGGTAGTTCTCCCATTTGCGCCCTGCGTGGCTGGGGAGGGATGGGACAGGGGAGGGTGACTGCTGCCCAGGCCTGGCGGGTGCTGGGGGCCCCCTCAGGAGCTGGTCTTGGAGGACGTGGGCCCAGAGACCCCTCCGGAGCTCATATTCCCCGAAGGAATGGCTGGCCTTCATCAAGCACCTTCGAGGCATGAAGAGGTGAATCCTTAGGAGGTGGGAGTTACTATAAACTCCTTTTCTGGAGATGTGGGTTCAGAGAAAAGTGAGCTGCTTGGGGTCACACAGCCCTGTCTGGATTTGAACTTGGGCGGGCTGACTCTAGATCTTACCGGCTCCACCACTGGGCCAGAGAAAGGATCCTCAACCCTCTCTTTGTCATGGAAGGAGGGGTCGGCCCCACCCAGAACCAAGAGCAGCCCAGATGGGATGCAGCTGGTGGGTGGGTCCCTAGCTTGGCTCCAGGGTGGCACCACCCTTTGCCCAGAGGCACAGGGCTCAGCGACTCCTTTGAAGATAGATCTGGCGCTTTGAAGGAGAACCCAGGCCCTCAAGCTGAAGCCTCACCCCGCAACACCATTGCAAATACTAAGGCAGCCAGTGAGAGAGAAGGAATGGCGCAGACCGCAGCCAGGGGCTCAGAGGCCAGCACACCCCATCGGAATTCCCCTTCCTTCAGCCGTTCAAAGACAACCTTTGTTTGGAAACCTGAGCCCTCGCTGGGATAGGCAGGAAGAAGAGGCAGAGGGGAGGCCAGGGTCAACAAATTTCCCCAAATAGCCACATGCTCCCTCCGTCTTCTCCTTCAGGCCTGTGCTCGAATGCCACCTCCTCAGAGAAGCCCCCTCTGACCACCTTCTTCCCTCTCTATCTAGCCCCGCACCTGCTTATCATTTGCCAGTATATTATATATGGGTTTATCTGTCTTCCCTCAATTAAAATAGGAGCACCTTGAAGATAGGACGGCATCCATCTTATTCACCACTGTGTCTCTAGCATTTTGAACAGTATTTGATGCATTCCCACCACAGGGCCTTTGCACCTGCTGTTCCGTCTACCTGGAATGATCTTCCTCCAGACATCCTTGTGACTCCTCTGTCCTCCTTCAGGTCTATATTCAAATATCACACCCGTGGTGAGGCCTCTGGCCATGCCACGCACATGTTTCTTACCCTATCCCCCTCTTTGCTGCTCTCTAACATACAACACATTTTGATTCTTTTTCCTGTTTATTTTCGATTTCTCCCTTCAGAATGCCAGTTCCATGACAACAGGGGTCTGTCTTGTTCACTGCTTGGCCCCAGTGCTCAGAACAGTGGCCGGCACACAGTAGGTACTCCATAAACGTTTCTCGACTGAATGAAAGCAAAGCCAAATGATGGTCATTTCAATGAGTGTTAAGTGCTGTGAAGAAAATAAAACAGGGCAAGCAACAGTTTGGGGGTACTGTGCTCTGTAGAGTAGACACTACTATTGGGACTCTAAGGAAACTGAGGCACAGAGAGGTCACGTAACCTGCCTGAGGTCCCAGATCATGTGGGTGCAGGGGCTGGGATTTGAACCCAGGCCATCTTTGATTGCCGACAGCAACACAGCTGATCCTCCTTAACATGCTGGTCTGAAGATCTGCTTTGCTGATATCTCCCAAATCTTGGAGCCTAGAATGGAAGGGACCGATCTTTGGGGATGCAAGATGATTTTCACCTCCTTTTTCCCTCTGGAGCCTATTGGCTATTAGGGGGCATCAAACTCACCTGTTAAAAGGCAGGTTCTTTTTTTATTTTTTTAATTTTGTTGAGGTCATGTGGGTTTATAAGAGTGTGTAATTTCAGGTGTACATTATTATGTATCAGTTTCTGTGCAGACTGCATCGTGCTCACCACCAATAGTCTAGTTTTTATCCACCACCATACATTTATACTCCTTTACCCCTTTGGCCCACCACCCTATCCCCTGCCCCTCTGGTGACCACTAATCTCTTCTCTTTATTCATGTGTTTGTTTATCTTCCACATAGGAGTGAAATCATGCGGTGTTTGTCTTTCTCTGTCTGGCTTATTTCGTTTAACATAATACCCTCAAGGTCCATCTATGTTGTTGTGAATGAGACGATTTTGTGTTTTTTACGACTGAGTAGCATTCCTTTGTGTATATATATCACATCTTCTTGATCCACTCATCAGTCGAGGGACACTTGGGTTGCTTCCACTTCTTGGCTATAGTGAATAATGCTGTAATGAACATACGGGTGCATAAGCCTCTTTGGATTGTTGATTTCAAGTTCTTTGGATAAATACCCAGTAGTGGGATAGCTGGATCATACAGTATTTCTATTTTTAATTTTTTGAGAAATCCCCATGCTGTTTTCCATAGAGGCTGCACCAGTTTGCACTCCCACCAGCAGTGTGTGAGGGTTCCCTTTTTTCCACGTCCTCTCCAACACTTGTTATTTCTCGTCTTGTTACTTACAGCCATTCTGACAGGTGTGAGGTGATACCTCATTGTAGTTTTGAAAATGCAGATTCTTAAGCTCCACAGTCAGACATTCTGATGGAGCAGATCGGGAGGGACCCCAGCAATGCATCGCCAGTGATGAGGAAAGGCATAGTCTTTGGACCACGTTCTGAGAAGTTCTAGACTCCATAACCTAGAGCAGCACGTTCCAGTAGAACCGTCTGCAATGATGGAAATACGCCATATCTGCACTGCCTACTGGTGGCTATTTAGCACTTGAAATGTGGCTGGTGCGGTACAGGAGCTGAATTTGAACTTTCATGAATTTAAATGTACGTAGTCACGCGTGGCCGTTGCCTCCAGTACCGGCAACACAATTCTAGATTCTGTAACTCTAGTTGCTACAGCCTCTGAGCGGCTGAACTCTTTTGGCATTATGCCACCATTTCCACAAAAATTCATGTCTTACCACTGTTATTATGAATGACACGGTAGCTTCCACATATCACATCATGATTTTTGGAATATTTCATTTAATAATCATATCAAGATTAGGCTCAGCTGAAGATGACAGAAAGCACAAAATATAGTAACTTAAATAAGAGGGAGAAATTGATGTCTCTTTCATATGCAAGAGTTTCAGGGGAAATTAGTCGCAGGTAAGAAGGACAGGTGCCCACTTACTAGCAATCCAGGCTCCTGTCTGTCTATCTCTCTCTCTATATATATCTATCCATCCACCCATCTATCTAAGTACTTCAGTGCGTTTCCTAAGAACAAGACATTTCATAACCTCAGTAAAATGATCAAAATCAGGAAAGCTACAAACTTTAATCAGATTTCATCAATTGTCCTGTTACCGATCTTTATAGCGGAAGAAAATGCCAGATCACTTGTTGCAATCAGCTGTCCTTTTAGTCTCCTTCCATCAGAACAGCTTCTGAACTTTCGTGACTTGGATATTTTTGAAAAATGCAGGTCAGGGTTTTGGTAGAATGTCCTTCAATTTGGGTTTGTCCGATGTTTCTGCATGGTTAGATTCAAGCTATGCTTTTCTGGCAGAAATACCACAGAAGTGATATATCTTTCTCAATTAGTCCCATCATCAGCAGTATTAACTTTGATCACTTGATGGTATCTGCTGTCTTTCAAGTTACTGTTTCCTACTTTGTAATTATGAAGTATCTTGTGGGAGACACTTTGAGACTCTGTGAATATCTTGTTACTCAACCCACTCACTCGTTTAGCATCCATTCTTGTCTGAATCAATTATTACTCACTGGATATTTTGAAGAAAATTGGAGGCCAGC